TATTTTTTTTAAAGTATTTACATAAAAAATTTTTTTTCAGTGTGCGAAATCGTGGGGGGTCAGTTTTTGCTGGAAATGCAGATCCCAACTTTTTTGGCCAAGAAGAATATGAAAAACACTTGGGCCAGGGCGGGCCCTTTTTTATAGATTTACCAGATTTCCTGCCCTAAAAGCCACAGGACGTTTTCAAGGTAAGTTATTTCTTTTTGATCTTTTCCCTGTCAGTGAGAGATTTTTTTAAAGCAAGTACCCCCTTGACGCCTGTATTTATCTGTTGCTGTTATCTGTTAGCTCCTAAATGTTTAGGTTTAGTACGGGGTTTTTAAAACCGGGTATTCACAAATTAATAATCAAAACGGGGGTATCATTTAAAAAATGAAGTGCAAAATGTTTTTGTTTTTAAAAATTTACTGGCGGGAAAAAAAAGAATGTCGTTTAAAGTTTTTATTATTTTTATTATTATTATTATTTTATTATTATTGTTAGGGGGGAAGTGCTAAACCCATAGGAAGGCATTGAGGCTTAATCGGGGAAATTTGGAGCCAGACCCAATTCCTAGATAAAGGCCCTCCCCAGCATAAAGGGAAACCTCCCTTTGGAAAGGGGCACTTTAACAGGAGGGGGGGAGAAAGTCCCTTGCGAACAAGTTTTTCACTGTAGCTGCCTCAGACTTACTCTGTTTATTTACTCTTTGTGACTTTTTAAGGTGATGTCGCTTCGGCAACGGCTAGAACCTAAACCCGCCAATTAGCAATTCCCGTTTTTGTGTAGTCCTGCTCTGGTTGTTTCCTTCGGTATTTTAAAGAAAAATAATAAAAAATATTGTGATGTTTTTTTTTTTTTCCCCCAAATCATTCTTGAAATGATTTTAGTCACTTTTTTTTTAATGTGCCAGATCACTCATTATGATGGCTTTGTAGGCTAGCTAGAAACGTCTAGTTATAGGCATAAACAAGGAAATCCTAACCTCAGCCCTGGTTTTGAAAGAGAAAATAAGAACCTTGAATGTTTTGAAGCCTTTTAATTTTTGTTCATGGTGCATTTGTGCAGTTTTGCAGTCTTTTATTGGAGTGCCCCAAACCCCTTTAAACCCCTTTTCGGGGCCCAAAGGCCCAAAAAATCTGAAGTCACGCCCCAGTGTCCAAGAAATTTTGAAAAAAAAAATTTATTTTTTCTTACAAAATTTAAAGAGCATATTTTTGTGAAGGTAATAAAAAAAAAAAATTAGAATCTGTCAGTACTTCCCGGTACGTCCCAAGAAGTTTATGGAAAATGGGGGGTGGGGGCAAATCGCGAATTTCCAAAACCGTTTTATTTATTTTGTTTTTTTATTGTTTTTTCTTTTTTTTTCCCAATTTTTTCTTTTCCCTACTAACATTTGGGGGCCTGAAGACCAATATGTTTTAAAATTGATTTATAACCATGATTTAACACAATAACCCACTAAAGTTATTTTCATATTATTGTTTTTCCCCTGTTTTTATTACAATAAATTGCACAAATATTGTATAATATAAAGTTATCATATATTTTACATATTTCAATCACTGGACTGGTTTTTGGGAAAGCTGGGCTTGTGGAACTCCTTGAAAAAAGGCACCATGCACAGAGGCACCTTTTCATTCCTACCAAAAAACCGAGTGTCTTTGGTCTTTGTTGCCGTCGTTTTGTTTTTTGCACAGACAAAAGCATTTTCTGAGAAATTTTTTTTGAGTTGAAGGGAACTGTATTAGAAAGATCCCTTCTCTCCTCAAAAGTTGGGGATACGTGATGAATTCGAGGGCCCTGTTGTATTGCGGTGTTTTACTGGGACTTCATTTGGTTGTCTGACAAAAAGACAAACAAAATTCACCCGGTGGTCGTTTAAATCTTTATTTGGTACAAAATTTTATGCATTCAGATTGAAATGCCATAGAAAGGAAGAAAAGTTTCATGTACCCCTTTAAATCTTACGAAACATAAAAAACCTTTTGCGTCAACTTTTCAACCCGTGCATGTTTTGTGTATAAAACAATCCTGACACTGGGTTTTTCGAATCGTTTATTTTGGGGCACTCGATCAACTTTTCCCCCTGTCTTGCATTTCATTCGGTGAATGGTTGTCATACAATGTGACATCTCGTTTGTCATGCCACCATAATGCCATGATGTCATTGGCAGTAAACACCTGCACGTCATCACCTCGACACCTGCGTGAGCCTGGGGCATATGTTTACTATTAGAACGCACTGGTGCCACACACATCTGTCTTGTTCACTCGCATTGAAATCATGAATAATGGGTTGTTTGTACCAGTTATCGGTATATAATGTATGCCCCTTACCAGATAAGGTGCCATCATGTTTCTCACTACGTCACCTGATATACCAATAAACATCTTGGTCTCTTTCAATTGTTTACTACCGTGTATTCAACATATCCAACACCAGGCACTGTCCACATCACAGTGTACCAAACAATTTTATACCCAAAGCGGTTCTTCTTGCTCGGTATATATGCTTGAATGACAGTCTACCTTTTGTACAAAAATCAAAGAACTCGTCAATACGAGATTCTTGAATGGGATAAAAGTATATCCTGAACTTTTGTTTTGAGATACATGAAACATTTCTAATCTTGTATAAGCCTGTCACTCTGTCAGGCCTGGTTTTGTCAGAGAATGCACATACGTCTCAGTAAGATAAACCTGTTCCACTGGTATTATTTCACTGAAGGTGGGGGTAGGGGAAAAATTAGCCGATCTTGGACCAGTATGCTTTTATATTTGCTTATAGCCGTTGAGGACATAAGCATTATTGTTGCCAAAACGCAAATTACAGTGGACCCCCGCATAGCGGACCTTACTCCGTGCATGAGGGGCGGGTTGTTATGTCGAACTGTTCGGTTATGCGAATGAATTTTCCCCTAAGAACTAATGGAAATCAATTTAATCCGTGCAGACACCCAAAAGTGTGAAAAAAAAAATTTTTACCAATGCAAATATACCATTTTCCTTCACACAAGGAGAAGGATTCATGCACAATAGCAGAGTCGTACATGCACATTAATATTGTGACATGTACTACTCTTACTAACATGAAGAATAAAATGACACTTACCTGTATTGAAAGATGCAGCACTGACTGATGAGAACTGTGTCCGGGGCGTGCTTTTCTCCTGAGTACTGTAGGTCCTGTTCGGCATTTACTTCCAGAACAGGCCTTATCACACTGTGTAGCCCATTCGATTTTAAATCTCTCAAACCCACCTTTGGGCTTTAAATTCACCCAATTTGAGCACTAGTTCCAGGCATTTTTCCTGTTCACCTGGGTGTTAGTCGACTGATGTGGGTTGCATCTGGTGGAGACAAGATTAAGGACCCCCCAATGGAACTACGTTAGACAGTCTTCAATGACCACGACTTTTTTGGGTTGTCCTGGGGTGGCAATTCCTTGGGGTTAATTGTTTTTGGTTTCTCCAATAGCCACACAACAACGGTGTGCTTACGAGCAAGCAGCAGCTGACGGTGGTACAGCAGCAACAGACGATGCTACAGCAGCAACAGACGATGCTACAGCAGCAGCAGACGATGCTACAGCAGCAGCAGACGATGCTACAGCAGCAGCAGACGATGCTACAGCAGCAACAGACGATGCTACAGCAGCAGCAGATGATGCTACAGCAGCAGCAGACGATGCTACAGCAGCAACAGACGATGCTACAGCAGCAGCAGACGATGCTACAGCAGCAGCAGACGATGCTACAGCAGCAGCAGACGATGCTACAGCAGCAGCAGACGGTACTACAGCAGCAGCAGCAGCTGACGGTGGTACAACAGCAGCAGCAGCTGACAGTGCAGCAGCAGCTGACAGTGCAGCAGCAGCTGACAGTGCAGCAGCAGCTGACGGTGGTACAGCAGCAGCAGCAGCTGTACCACCAATAGTAGCGATGGTTGATTGGGGTTTATTATACAACCTGGCCAGCTCGGAGACACGCACTCCACTTTCATACTTATCAATGATCTTTTTCTTCATCTCTATAGTAATTCTCCCTTATTGCTGTAGGGTTGGCACTAGAAGCTTTCTTGGGGCCCATGGTCACTTATTTTCCAGAAAA